GAGAGAGAGAGAGAGAGAGAGAGAGAGAGAGAGAGAGAGAGAGAGAGAGAGAGAGAGAGAGAGAGAGAGGCGGGGCAACGAGAATGAAGTAGACGGGGACGGGGACGAGTGTGTGCCTATGGTGGGGATTGGAGAAAGGGAGCAGATGCCAATAGTTGTGAATGGTGATAAACAGACCGATACGCAGGCACAGAGATGGAAAGACGAGCGGACAGACGGAATGACAACTGAAACGCTTACGGACGGAAGGGCTGCAGGGAAGAGGAACAAAGTGCCAGGAGTGTGTTGCGGGTAGACGGAGGGGGGAAGTGGACGAAAACGAAATGGACGCGGCTATGTATGACTTCAGATAAATATATACGCAGTAACACAGGCAGATAAATAAATATTAGATAAATAGATAGAGAGAGACAGACACACTGACGCACAGACAGACAGGCAGACACACAGACAGACAGATTCATAGAGTGGTACATAAATAGATAGATAGATAGATAGATAGATAGATAGATAGATTGATTGATTGATTGATAGATGAATGGATAGATACGTGGCGGGGGGGATAGGGAGGTGGGTGGGTAGGTGGATGACAGATGAAGTTCAGATGAACGTGGAGACATTACCAGATAAGTGGGTGGTAGGTAGGTTCATAGACCGCGAAGTATGATGAGTTCTGACGGGCAGGTAAGATAGATGGAGATAAAAAATGAGCTGGCAGATATCAAAAGATTGAAGATTGTCGTACGGACACAGGGAGGCAGAAATTCATCGAGAGGTGGATTAGATGCATGGATGGGTGGGTGGGTGAGTGGATATTTGATAGATTTGTTGACGGTCTGGTCGATAGATACATACCAAAATGCTTAAGAGACAGAAAGAGAATGTGATCGATAGACAGGTTGACAGAGGGATGGAAACGCTGACTGGTGTGTGTGTGTGTGTGTGTGTGTGTGTGTGTGTGTGTGTGTGTGTTGATGAGAAATATGGCCACCGCGATGTGTCGCAGGGAGCTGCGTTCTAAGGTAGCCATCACCAGTCATACCATGACATTATGCTAACCGCATTGTATGGTATATATATATATATATATATATATATATCGTTTGTTGTCCTCTTCTCTCTCTCTGGCTACGGTTTACTGGGCAGTTCTGTTTGTGACAATATATATAATTGGTTTTCGTCACAGGTACCTTGAGGGTAGTGGTTGGTGCTCACCTCAAGGTATCTGATTCAGTTGTTGGGCAGTTGTTGATGCTTAACCACAACTGGGGTTAAGGTGGATTGTCACTTGCAGTGTCATCCGTTAGGGGATTCTGCAGACTGTTGAGGGCTCAGCCTCCTGATGAGTCGGTGAAACTCCGAGAAAGCAGTTTGTCGCCCTCTTCTCCCTCTCTGCCGACGGTTTACCGAGCAGTTCTGTTTGAGGATATATTTCTTTGTTTTGTTTTTAATCTTTACCGTT